TGCCAAGGCTGCCTGTTTAGTATTGGGAATGATAAGCCAGAGAAAATGAATGGGGTTGTCTGAGTTGCCCAGTGGTCTCAGGCATTGGGATCCAGTATGGTGTTTTCCAGGAGAAGTCTTTTTTCAATTCTGTTTCATTTCTAAAGTGCCCTTCACTGAGAGGTCCTCTCAGGAGCTTAATGCCCTCTGGGCTTCCCCTCCTGAGAAGTACTTCAGATGTTTATTATTTGTTTGTTTGTTTTAAGGTTTTTCTGAGATCTGTATTTGAACTTAATATGCAGCTGAGGCTGGCCTGGGACTCAGGATCCTTTTCCCTTAGCCTCTCAAGTGGTGGGATTACAAGCATGTACCACCAATGTCCAGTCCTGAGAAGTGCTCTAGCCTGAGATGGATTTGTACAGCATTAACTTTGGCCCATTGGGAAGTGTACTTTGTATATCTTTTACTCTCTTGGTAATTGTCTCCTTCTTGTTCATGGGTAATCTCCAGAGGCTGAGTGAAATTGGTGTGGTTGAAGACTGAGTCAGTGAAGCTGAGGGAGGATGCCCAGGAGAGCTCTTCCTCCAAACTGTGACTACCCATTGATGTAGAGTGCCAGGGAGAGGGCCTGTGTAGGTGGCAGTATGCTCAGACTTACTGGGTAGGAAGATGGGTTTTTCCCTTTTATATCCAAGACTCTCAGTGCTGGTGGAACAAGAAACCTAGCCATACCATAACCTAGAGTTCAATTCCTTTTAATCCATCTCAGTATTTTGTGTTTATCTTATCTGAGTGTTTCTCCAATGTGTCTGTAACTCAGAATCATCCAAAATGATATATTGTGTGATAGAGCTTTGTCTTTCTGCCAGGGTTGAGAAGCACTGATGTTGCTATACTGGGCTTTTCTAGAAAAGTACATAGATTTTATACTTAATGCTGCTATGTCTGCTGGTCCCTGCTCTTGCTTCAAGTTTCATCTCCTTTTCTCCTTTCACCTTTACCCAACAGTTGTGGTACTTTAAGTTCTCGATGAGATGGCAGCTCTTTTCTTAATATTTTACTGTTTTTCCCCACTAGAAGTTCTGTTAGTCAGGTGTGGTGATGCAAACCTGTAATAGTCCTAACATTCTGTGATGGTTATATTTCTGTAATTGCAATCTGTTCATTCTGTGTACTCCTTCATGTTTCTTTACATAGCAGGCTATGGATTCCTTGTTTCTAGCACCTACTACATACAGTGAGTGAGTCATAATAGCCACCCAATGTCTGTTGGCTCACTTGTAAGCCCTTGCATTTACTCATCTGCTTTCTGTTAGGCCAGGGGGAAGAACTGAGGTGGTGATTGGGAGAGATACTTGGTAGGACAAAATTAATACTGATTCTGATAACTTTGGAAAAATTATTTAACCTCATGGCATCAATTTCTTTGGTTGTAGGTTAGAATAATTACTCATTTTGTGAGTGTAGCATGCAGCACATAAGTACACATTATATGACTTATTTTCCATGTTTTGTTGCGAGTATATACCACAGGCTTTTGATAGAGAGGGCAAAGTTCAGCAGAAGTGATATAAATGAACAAGAGGTAAACCTGGAAGAATGACAGTGACAAGCAAACTACTTAGGGTTGCTGCCATGGCCATGTTGTTGATGATGCTGGAATAGCTAGGCGTATGATTTAATCTTCAGAATAAATCTGAGGTGAGAGTCAGTCATAACAGCCAGAGCCAACCCATGTCTTGGCTTTGGTGTTGTTGTTGTTATTTTGTATGATATTAATTAGGTACCTTGACCATGGTTCCTCAGCTAAGAAATTACAGAACTTGGATTTGGATAAAGATTTTTCTCTTTGCTGTTATTAAATGATGAAGCTTGACTTGTAATTCACCATAAAAGAACTGCTAGTTTATACCTAGTAAATATGGTCAGGTGCTGTCAGATACAGTGAGAAAGTTCTCTTGAGAAACACTGGATTATGTCTATTTCCAGAGAAACACTCCTACTTTCATGGCCATGCAGAATCTGCTTACACTCACCCACTCTGTGCAGTCTGGATGGAAATGCTTAGGCATGCATTTTGGGAAATTATTTGGAATCTAAATTTCAGTGAAGTCAAGATTATAGGCCAAAACTTACGGGGTTGGTTGCTGAATTATACCTCATGTTATTTTTTTCTGTGTTTACTGTCTTTGATGTTTATTATGATAAAACTGAATTTGATAGTTTGCATTTAGACTTTACAGTATACTCAAAGGATTAAGACAATGACTTCATCGGAGATTGTATATCCACTAGGTATTGAAGAGAAGGATCCTTTGGGCATTGGTTCCTTCACACTTGTGTTTATTCTCATGGTATTACTATGCTAATTAGCATTTATGTAGCTCTTGATTTTAAATTTATTTTTAATAGACTTATTTTCAATTCAGAACATTTGACTCATATTATTTTCTTTTTTAGCATATACCTGTCGTCAGTTGGGAACCTGGTGTGGTGGCACATGCCTGTAATCCCAGCATTTGGGAGGCTGAGTAGGAGGATTGAAAGTTTTAGCCTAGCCTGGGCTATGTAGAAAGTTTTAGGCCAACTTGTTCTATATGTGGTGAGAATTCATCTCACAAAACAAAACAACCACCTAACTGAACAAACAGAAACTACCTAGAGAGGTTGTGGTGATAGCACAGTTCAAGTTCTTAGTCCTTTGATCCTGCTAATAATAATAAATTCCACACTTTTAATGTCTACATTCCTGTTTTCTATGAGTAGTTTCATTTTAAAATGGACTACTTTTGCCTTCCATCCAAAATTACTTAAGAAAGAGGAAATGGTCAGATGTGCAAGAAAATTACTGCTAGTCCCATGCTAGCTGATGTACATAGTAAACTCCAGGTTCCAAACAAGCCAAACTACATGGTAAGACCGTGTATCAAACTTAGGAAATCTAGAGGAAGCAGAAAACATAGCTCTAGGGGGCTGCTGCATTAGGTTCCAGAAACTAGTTGAAAGATCTTTTAATTGCCCTGTTTAAAAAGTCCTTATTTTATATTATTTTAAGTTTATTCCCTAAAAAGAACACATTACTAAAAAGAACTCATTGCTGATTTCATCATCCCCTCGAAGTTGAACTATCAGTGGGATACTAGAAACGGACTTCTTTCTGATTTCTGTGTTGATGAAACACTTTGCCACTTAGGGTATAGAACTCCCCACCCATCATTTACCACACCTGCCTTACTCTTTTCATTAGTCTTAGGTTTCTGTAATAGAATTCACTATTTTACCCTTTGGGATAATTTTTTTTTGAGACAGAGTCTTGCTATTTAATAGCTCAGGCTGTCCTTGAACTTGGTTGATTCCGTTGCTTCAGCCTCATTTTTGACTCAGCCCCCAAATGTTGTGATTTTAGGGTTGAACTACAATACTTGGTTGGAATTAAAACATTTACAATTTTTTTCTCTCAGTAAAGGTTTTTGTGTTGGATGGAGGTGCTTTTTGTATTGAGAATACCCTCAGTCAGAGCCATCCATTCAAGTGGAGTGAGGGACAGTGGAGGCATTTATGGTTGACAGATGGGAAACTCTTTCCTAAGTAGCCTTTTAACATTCTTTTGCACATGGCAGCCTGTGGGAAAGAGTCTGTGAGCATCTAGGTAGATTGGTATAAGACTTATAAAGGGTTGTGAAGAGAGGGGATGCCGTTGCTTTATGTTAAATACTATAATCAGTAAATTGTATGTGTTTTTGAACTCTGAGAATGTTAGCATCAAGTTCTGCTTTCTGCTTCTTCACCTTTTATAAGAAAAGTTTCTGAAGCAGGTTATAGTGATGCATACCTATAATCTTAAACTCTAATCTTGGACTAAAGAGCAAGATTTTATCTCAACAAGCAAGTAGGCAAGCAAACAAACAAAAGGGCTGGTAGTAGACTGTTCACATAGCATGCACAGGACTTGAGTTTGATGCCTAGCATGGCCAATTAAAAAAACAAAAACAAAAACAAAAAATAACTTGCAGAGAGATAGAGGTAAACACTTAGACTGAGTAATTTTGTTTTTGTTTGTGACTAAGTCTCACTGTAATCCTTGCTGTCCTGGGACACTACATAGACCAGCTTGGCTTTGAATTCATGGAGACTGGCTTGCCTTTGCCTACTGAACGCTAGGATTAAAGATGTAAGCCACCATTCCTGGCTAAGACTGAGTAATTTTATTCGATACTTTGTTTAGATCACTTTTTTTTTTTTTTTTTTTTAGATACTATGACAAATGCAACTAAAGAAGGGAAGGCTTTATTTTGGCTTATGATGCTTGAGAAGGCATGTAGTCCATAATGGTGGAAAAGTGTGGTGACAGAAGCATAAAGCAAGGATAGCAACTGTCTTGTCCAGGAAGGGTAGATAGAAATGGAGGGAGGGAGAATGGTGGGAGAAGGGGGAGAGAGACAGATGGAGAGGGAGAACAAGGAGTGGGAGGGAGAGGGAGAGGGAGAGATGCTGATCCTCAGCTGACTTTCTAATTTACAGTAAGTCCTGGACCTCAGCACATGGAATTTGGTCACCTACATTCAGAATGAGTCTTCCCACCTTGAGTGATGCCTCTCATGCCAGAGGTTTTGTCTTCTAGGTGATTCTAAATCCTTCCAGGTTGATAATCATGATTAACCATCACAGTAATTATCTACATTTCCCCATACTTGTTACCAATGTATACATTACTTCTGTTCATAGAACATTTATTTTTTATTTGGGAGAAATTAAGTTTAATAAATTAATAATTATCAGGTATAGTTCTCCTAATGTGCTTCTAAAAATTATGCATTTGTGTGTGTACATGTATATATGTGTCCATATGCATTCCACTGCATTCATGTGGCTTTCAAAGGTTTTCTCCTATTTATATGGGTCAAAGGGATAATTAAACTTAAGTGTTTAGGCTTAGTGGCAAGTGCCTTTACCTTACCAGCCCCTAATTTTTTATTCTTTCTAAACGTTTTGCCTTCTGAGTTATAAAATGACCAGTTTTATTTTTATTATTGGACATAGGCGTACTCATGTAATCCAACCTACCTTTTAGGAATTTGGCAAATATAGTTACAGTGAAGAAGTAGGAGACTGATAGATACGACTTAACATTTGCCTCAGTTGTCATGAACTCCAGTGTCTCTAAGTTGTGTCCCAGCAAACCAGCCCATCCTGCTGCTGCCTCTGGTCTCCTCAGGTTTCCATCTTGTATTTCCTGGAGTTGGCAGTGAAGCAGAGAGTGAATGTTAGAGGGAACTGTGTAGCATCTATTGTTCACAGATAACATATATCACATATATTATCCCCCATAATGACTTCATAAGTATCATAGTGGTATTTTGTAGAAACTGAGGTTCAGAGATGTTTAATATCTTACCCAAAGTCACATACTAGGAGAGGAGGTATCAGCAGGTGAGGCTGAATGTATGTTTCTCATTTGAATTTTTTAAAAGAGATTATCACTGGGATGCCAATACATTTGAATTTGAAGTGTCAGGGTAAATGTAATAGTCTTGCTGTTCCATAGTTAGGTAAATTATGGAAATGTCACATGATTGGCAGTTTAGGTAGAAGTTATCAATAAAGCTAGAAATTTATTTTGTACTTGTGTAGGAATATACATGGTACCATACCATGCATGTGGAAGTCAGAGGAGAACTTGGAGAGTTGGGTCTCTCCTTTCACCTTTATGTGTGTTCTGGGGATGAAGCTCAGTCCATCAGACTTGGAAACAAGTGCCTTTTCCTGATGAATCATCTTGCTAGCCCCTTAGTACTTCATTTTGGAATATAGGTGACACAGATCTTAGTTCCTGATAGTGGTCTGATAGTGCTAAGTGAAATATGTAGTTAAGTTTTATGCTTTTGCTTATTCCAACTAAGGAAAGAAACAGTGGAAAATTACTGAGTTAAACTGCCTAAATCCAACTGAAATCTGCCACATCATCTTATTTTTAGACCAGGTAGTGTCAAATACTCTACACATAATCTATCAGAAGCAGCCCATGAATGAACTGGATCAAAAATGCATGGGGAAGCCAGTTGTGGCACATGCCTGCAATCTCTGCATTTGAGAGATCAATGCAGGATTGCTCTGAGTTCTAGGCCAGCCTTGGCTGCAGAGTAAGACCTTGTCTAGACAGGACAGAACAACAGACTAGAACTGAACAGAGCAAAACAAACCTTAATCCAAGCTATACTGTACAATTAGGACTGGTGATTTAGCTGAGTTGGGGTAGTGTTTGCCTAGGATGTAAGAAGCCTGAGTCTGATCCCCAACATCACACAAAACTGAGTGTGGTGTGGTGTGCCTGCTTTTATTCCCACCATTAAGGAGATAGAAACTAGAGGATCAGAAGTTCAAGATCATCTTCTGCTATCTAGTCAGTTGGAGGCCAACCTGGGCCACATGACACCCTGTCTCAACAAAACAAAACAAACCAATACAAAAACAAACCAAAGATTGTAACAGGGTAGTGTCTTAGTCACTATTCTATTGCTGAGAAGAGACACCATGATCAAGGCAACTCTTATAAAAGAAAGCATTTAATTGGGAACTTGTTTGCAGTTTCAGAGGTTAATCTATTATCATGTCAAAGGAACATGGCAGCACATAGGTGGACATAGTGCAGGTGAAGTAGCTGAGAGTTCTATATTTGGGTCAGCAGGCAGCAGGAAGAGAGTGCCACTGGGCTTGGCTTAGACTTTTGAAACCTCAAAGCCCACCCCCAATGACATACTACCTTTAACAAAGCCACACCACCTAATCCTTCTCAAGTAGTGCCACTCCCTTATGGATAAGCATTCAAATATATGAGCCTATGGGGTTCATTATTATTTAAGCCACCACAATACTGAAACATTTTTATATATACTAGCTAAAATAAAGTGCAGGGAATTGTGAATCATTCCAGGATCTCAGGGGAAAGGTGTATGACATGAGGAATTAAGGAGAAAATTAAAGCAAAGAGTTGGGGGATGTTCTTAGGATTTTTGAAAGATGCATACAGTTGAGAACCTCTACTTCTTGAACATTGCTAATTGCCATGTTGATGCTAGACAGTTTGCTAGGCTCCTGGTAGGGCTTAACAAATCATTATAACTTTTAACCTCATACCTTTATTTGTACATTGTTTTATTGAGATAGTCTCCCTATATAGCCCATGATGGTCTCCAATTTTTGACCCTCTGGTCTCAACTTCCTGAGTGTTAAGATTAAAGTTAATATGCAAGCATTTTTCAGTCTCATTTATTTTTAGTTTATGTAAATGAATGTTTTTGTGTGTACAGTGACTGCAGAGGTCAAAAGAGGGCATCGGAACTCTTGGAACTGGAGTTTATAGTGGTACTGGGAATAGAACCACCCAGGTCTTGCAAGAGGAACAAGTGCTGTTAAACACTGAGCCATCTCTCTAGCCCACATGTTTTACAACTTATTTATTTGTTTTTTGTTTTGTTTTTTTTTTTTTTTAGAGATAATGGTTTCATGAAGCCCAAGCTGTTTTGAAACTAGCTATATAGTGAGGATAACCTTGAACTCCTGATCTTTTTATGATCTCTCTCTCTCTCTCTCTCTCTCTCTCTCTCTCTCTCTCTCTCTTTCGCGTGCACGCGCGCGCACACACACACACAATTTGTGTTGATCTTGTTATTTAGACAGGTGTATAGCACACATACTTGGTATTCTGCTTTTTGAAAAAAGTAATATGGTTATTGTATGTTTTTCAGCTTTACTATTTAAAAGATCATTAAGTCTCTCTGTGTGTGTATCTTTGACTGTGTGTGTACTCACACACATGCAGTGACAGATGTGGAGGTCAGAGGACAATCAGGAATTGTTTTTTTCTTTCCACTGTGTTTGTGGGTCTTAGGAATTGAACTAAGGTTGTCAGGCTTGGCAGCATGTGCTTTTACTCACCGAGTTAGCTTAAAAAATTAAAAACAAATTATGAATTTTTATTTATGTGTATGCCTGTGTCCCTGTATATACACCACATGAATGCAGGAGCCTATGGAGGCCTGAGGTGGGTGTCAGATCCCTTGGAACTGAAGTTATACATGGCTCTGAGACACCTAATGTGGGTTCTGGGAACCAAACCTGAGGTCCTCTGCAAGAGCAGCAAGTAGGTACTTTTAATTGCTGTGCAGTCTTTCCAATTACCAGCTTTAACATTTTAAAGAAAACTAAAGTTGACAAGTTTTGAAGTTCATTGATGATCTTAATTTTCCACTAAAACATGACATTTTGGAAAAACCTTACTTGAGTATGGCAGCCTATAAGCCAAACACGTGGTGTGTTTAGAAGGAAAAGAAGATGACTCTTAGCAAACTAAAGCTGTGGTTTAGAGTTCCTGGCTTGAGCATGTTGGTGGCTGAGACTCACATACTTTTTTCCTGTATTAGTCTGACTGAAGCTGGAACTGGGCTTTCCTGGCAGTACATAAAATGACACATTAATTCCTGATTCCTAAGCAGTTGGTGAATGGATTCTGTTCTCATATAGATAATTCATTATTCTAGAAGGAATAATGTATAGACTAGAACTTGACAACTGATTCCTGAATCTTTAAAATAAGGAATTTTACTGTTGCTGTGTGTGGTGATGCATGCAGATTGATGTTTGAGGCCAGTCTGGCTGGCCTGTACAAAAATCCACACCAACCAGGGCTACCCAGTGAGACCCTGTCTCCAAAAAAAAGAACAGTCATGCTTTTTGTTCTTCATAATGGTCATATTTTTCTGACAGGTTGCTCAGTTTGTTATTATATAATGTTTCTTTTTTTCTTACCACCCTTTTTACTGTAAAGTTTATTTTGTTCAATTTTAGCTCTCCTTTGTTGCACCCCTTTAATCTTTTGGTTACTGTTTGCAAAGACTGTCTTTTTCCAACCTTATACTTTAAACCTGTTTTTATCTTTGAATTTGAAATGTGTTTTCTTAGAGACAGTATGTAGGTCTTTGTTTGTTTTGAGATATGAGCTGTTAGACTAGGCTGGCTTTGAACTTATTCTCTAGCTCAGACTATCTTCAAACTCTTCTTGCCTCATCCTTCTGAATACTGGTATTACAGGCATGTAACCTTGTGTCTGGCCATGTTGTTATATTTAGACCAGGCTGGCGTTGAACTCTTAGAGCTCCTCCTTTCTTTGCCTCCCAAGTGCTGATATTAAAGGCATGTGTCACCATACCTGGCCATCTATTTTAATTTGGATAAAGAGGACAGTTCTTTCTGTCCTTTTGGATTTTTTTAATTCCTTAATTTCTGCATTATTGCCACCTTTTGTGTTATATTCACTTCTCTTTTAAATGTGTGTGTGTGTGTGTGTGTGTGTATATGTATATATATACATATATATATGTATAAAGGATTTATTTATTTTATCTGTATGAGTGTTTTGCCTGCATGTATGTATATTCACATGTATGCCTGGTCCCCACAATTGTCAGAAGGGGGCATCACATTCCTTGGAACTGGAGTTACAGATGGTTGTGAGCCTCCACGTAGATGCTGTGAATCTGAGTTCTTTGTAAAAGTAGAAAGTGCTCTTAACCACTGAGCTATTTTTCTAGCTTTTTTTTTTATTATATATTTTAAACTAATATTTGTAGTGATTGCTTTGGGAGTTACAACTACCATCTTAACTTCTGGCAGTCCAGTCCAGTTCAGTTAACTACTTGGTTTCAATATAGAAAATCATTGCTTCCACATATCTCCCTCCATTCTGTCTGTCTCTGTCTCTGTGTGACTCCATAGTCTAGGCCAGCTCTGATCTTAAGTCAGTCTTCCAATTTCAGCCTCTTATGAGCTATAGCTCATGGGATGAGCCACCATCAGTTTAAAATTCTATCTTTATCTTTTAAATCACATAGGAACAAGGCATTATGAACAAAAATTCCTTAATATTGGCTTTTACATCTAACCTTTACTAAATATTCTTATTTATTTGCATGGATTTGAGTTACTGTTTAGTGTATTTTCCATTGTAGCCTGAGAAACAGCCTTTATTGTTTCTTTTATAAAGGCAGGCTTGCTAGTGATAGATTCCCTTTGTTTTTTTACCTGGAAATATCTTAATTTTTCTTTAATTTTGGAGGATTGTTTAGCCAGATAATGTGTTCTTGCTTAACAGTTATTTATTTATTTATTTATTTTAGCATCCTGAAAGTGTTGTCTTACTGTCTTTTGGCCTTTATAGATTCTGATATGAAACTATTT